TGAGAGTTTAGGATTAAGAGTTCAGAGTTTAGGGTTGAGAGTTAAGGATTCATGGTTAGGGTTCAGGGCTCAGACCTTAGGATCTTCTGGCGAAGGTGTAGGGTGTACTTTAGGGGTTTGAGCCCTTGTCTTCGGAGGCTGGCAATTGAGTTTAGGATCTGGGGTTTTGCCCGGTCATGAGATCCGGGTTCAACGGTCACACTTTGGGGGGTCAGGTTTGGTACGGGAGTGGGGAGGGACCTTTCATAGAACTTTAGGGTCAAGAAGGGCGGGCTTAATGTCTGGGAGTGGCGTTAGGGGTTTGAAGGACGAAAAAACCCTAAACCGCCTAAACCGTAAAACGGTATGTCAGAATGAGAGGATCAAGTCTGACACCGCATAGGCCAGATGAAGCTTCAAGCAAGGAATCTGAGCAGGGGTTTAAGGTTCGAGGGGTGTAGGGATTTAGGGTTTAGGGTCTGAGGGGTATAGAGTTTAGGGTTTAGAGGTTTAGTGTTAACTTTGAGCAAGCAAACAGCTCATGAGGTCACCATTGTTCAGGACCTGAATCAGGCACCAGCTGAACACAAAGCTCGGCACTTGAGACATTCGGCTCGAAATGACTTATCTGGGCTGGAAGGGAGGAATGCCGGAGAATCAAAGGGAACACAAAATGGAAACTGGGGGTACATAGTGGTTTAAAGTTTATATGTGTGGCCTGGAAGGAGGCAGGACAACTTCGCCGAACTGCCAACATCCCAAACCAAATGCCTGTTTCTCAGGCAGTTGCAAGAACCGTGAGCGTGCCGTCAGGGCATGAAGGCCAAACGTGCTTCCGGGCAACGGCAGTCTGTGCAGGTTAAGACAAGGAATTCGCCCTTGCGATATGACTTCTGAGAAATGGTATCTCGGCCTGCACACACTTGCATTATTCAGTTTACAGCAGCTGCGACGTCACGACCTGCCTCATCCCCAAACTCCCTGACCTTCCTGGATTGCTGTTAAGGAAACTTGAATTGAGTCATCAAAATAGGGGTATGCAGTAGGGTTTCCTTACTGCAGTAACTTAATGCTCAAGTTCCTTAACAGCAACCCAGCTCCTCTTTAAGCTTCGGCTTGTAACCCTAAGCCTTGAGCCAAGCAGCACGCCGCTCCTCCATGACCAGGGAGAGGTAAAGGATCATGGAGAGGAATCCCTCCACGCAGTCCCTATAGTTGGCCTTGAACCACTCCTCAGCCAACTGGGTTGCTGCTAAGGAACTTAAATTAAGCTACGATAAAGGGTATATATAGGGATAATGGAAAAGAAAATGGAAACTACTGTAATGGGGTTATATAGGGTTCAGGGTTTAGGGCTTAAGTTACCATAATGGGCATATATAGTAAACAATAGGGTTCCCCAATATAGTAACTTAATTTAAGTTCCTTAACAGCAACCCAGCCAAGTGATAGGGCTTCACAAGATGATGGTTTTCAGGGTTGTTCTGGTGGCTTTTCAGCAACATAGTGAGTGCTGACAAAGACGTCTTTGGGGGATTTTGATATTGTAGACGACTGCTCTGCGCATCCCCAGGTCTCTTCCTATCTGGAATATCCTTCATTTCGGCGCATTTCTCGGGAGCCCACCCTTTTCAACGATACGTATGAAATCCCCCAGCACAATCCCCTGCAGTCATGGTGCCCAAAGTCCCTGAAACTAAGACCCTAAATCCTAAACCCTAAACCCTCCTCTGACCTCAGACTGCAACAACCTAAGCCCATAGGCCCCAATCGCGCCCGGGCTTCAAAAAGCTCGGATTGCGTGATCTGCAGCATCTTTGGGCTGAAGTCCACTCGGAACTCCTTGTAAGATCTTAGACTTAAGGGGCTGAGGATTTGGGGGGAGGGGTTGGGGTTTAGGGTCTAGGGTTTAGGGTTCAGGGTTGAGGGTTTAACGTTGGGCTTGTTGGGGTTCAGGGCTAGGGGCATGGGTTTATGGGCTAAGGTTGTGGGGCTTTCGTGTCTTTACATTGGGAACCTGGCTGATCCCGGGTCCCTGTCCTAGGAGTGCTCTTGCACATGATAACAATAATGCTAGCTGCAACTGAAACCAAGGACGCACAAATGGTAGGTTCCAAAGATCACAAGCCTGTGGGGTATGCCAGAAATAGGGTTGCTTGAAGCAACGGTAATAACAAGAATAGTAAGCGTTGTAAATCAATAGCAGATCCGTTGGCAATTTAGCAGTATACAGTGATAGCAGCAGCAGCTGATGATGATGATGATGAGTTATGAACACTGCATATTCAAACTTCTGACACCAAACCCCAAACACGATCGAAATCAGCTGCAAGGCCGTGTCATTCACTCGGTTGGGCCCCCTTAAGGCCCGCCCGAAATCTTAAACCCTGAGCCTTCCCAAACCCTGAGCGCCAAACCCTAAACCCTACACCTCAAACCGCAGACCCTAAGCCCTAATGTTGGACCCTCTTATGCATGGGGACCCGGTTTAATGTCAAGTTCTGGGGCTAATTCAGGATCTGTGGGTATGTTTAGGGACCCTCTTTAATGTCAAGTTTTGGGGGCAACAATAGAAAAAACATAGGTTTGACCT